TCTTTTAGATCATATCTTAAACAAGACTTGCCCTTTAATATAACTTAGCTATTTTTCTATATATGACCGATCCCATTATTATACCTAGGATATTTTTGTACATATAAGATGTCTTGATCAGGTATCTCTACTTTTACTTTTGAGTTAATATTTTAAAATAAATTAAAAGACGATTGCAACACGAAATGGAATTCGAACCTCAATTATCAGAGGAAGCTATCAACACAGGTGCTGCATCTTATACCACTATATAATTCCACTTGACTCTAGGCCACTAAGATACGAGTTTTAATCTAGTGGTTGCTGAGATAAACGTACCAGTAAAATTATCAAAACAATATTTAAATATTAGTATATGTTCTACATATGTCAAACTAATATCAATTTCTAGTTCAAATTAATATCTAACAACATAATTTTGTTTCGTTCTATTCTAAACTAAAACGTTTTGCCTCTTGAACAAGTAGAACAATAATTTTACCACTCTTTCACTGTTTATTTCTTTTCATCTATAAAATGTATGAAAGTACTGTTTTTAAGGTTATTCAATAATATTTATATCTGTTCAGAATAATAGGAGCAGTAAAATATTAGTAAAGTGAAATACATATGTGTGTGTTTCAATAAATTTTAATTTTTTCGTGGTCTATTTTAGAAATCTGCCAAAAAAAGTATCTTTATACACTCGCTTTTTTTACAAAGGGAAAGATGTTTTCATGTTGCACCTCATACCCTCATCTGATTTTCCTGAATTTAAGGTTATGATTTTATTATTCTATTATTGGTATTAAGGTTAAAAATGAAGGATAGATGGGATTGTTTAACGTAAAGGCTGTGCGGTAAAGGTTAGATATTTTAATCTAATTTCCTACTAACTTAGCATAGTGAAGTCTCTATTCATACAGCATTTCAAATAGTTAAACTATGTCCAGGTATATGTTCTAGAAGAATAGTATATTCTCAACTTTGAACTCGTAATCCTGCCCTTAGGACCTCTCTTTCACATTTGTAAGCTAAAGCCAAGGACTTGTCTATCATGATATTTGATAATTTGAGTGGATCTCAGCAAAATGTTAGAAGACTGATCATGTGCGAAGATGGACAAATTCCAAAACGTTTCTGTGTTTGTTTGCTTGAATGGGACTTCTCTGATGACGTGCGATTCTAGGACTGAACATAGTTTTAAACAAAGTTGTTTCTAGATTTTTTCTTGAGTTGTTTGATATATTTTGCTTGATGTTTGTCTTCTGTACTTGTTTTTACCTTGAATATTATCCAATTGCCGACCTACTGTCCGAAAGAAAAAGCAAGCAAGATCAGCAAAAAGCATTAGTCTGACACATTGGTATCTTATTAGTCTTTTCTATTTGATATTAACATATTAAACTGTTTGGAGAAAAAAGTTGTTTTGGCTTCTCATTGGGTATTTTGTGTCCACTTAGTTTTGTGCGAATCCGACCTGTTTACGTTTCTTTATGTACCTGCTACTTTCCTGGATTAATAGCTCATTTGCTAGGTCTAGTTTTTCCTGTGAAGACCGCACCAGGAAAGTCGAAATACTTGTATGCTATGTATTCATACCCCACCTTTTCAGTCTACTAGGGAACAAAGGAAAGAGAAAAACTGACTCCTGAATATACAACTCGTGTACTATAGTGTGCACATACTTGTTGTTTTTACAAATATTTATGAACTTCTCAAAATTCCCCACTATTGTCTTAGCGTATTAATGATTATAAGACTGACCAACCTACTACCCGTAAGTTAACCCTGCACATCTTTCAACTTTTTAAGCTTTTGAAGTTTCAGTCGAGAATTGTTCTGGTGTGTGCGTGTCAAATTCCCCTCTTGTAAACAACAACAACAATCTAGACTTCTAACAATGATAATATATACAACTTCAACTATGAAACCTAATGCAAATAATTAATTACATTAAGAAATAAAAGAAAAAGAAAAATTCACATTTAATGATAAACGACGTACTAAATGGCATATTTTAAAATGTTGTGGCTCAGAGTCCCGGAGACTAAAAGTCAAAGGTGTAGCGAATGTCTTAGTATAAAGACTGCTTATAGCTCACAAGGTTTCAAATTAAACTAAATTTTATTAAAAACATGTCCACGCCTTGCAATTATAAATCTGTTTAGCTTCATAAGTCTTGAGAATTGACTTTCTTAGCAAATAAACAGAGAATTGAAACTAATTCTTATTGGTTTCTTTGGTCAATAGTTATAATGTGGAATTGTTTTCACAATCCATTTATACTAACACTCTTGCATAGAATATGTCATTTATTTTCTTTAAATGAACAAAAGCTGCAACACGTATGAGTTATAAAAACACCGAAATCCTAAGTAAATGAATGTCCAGTACTCAGGAATATCATTTCTCTGATGCAATTAGATCCGTACACCAAAGAGATCTTGCAGAAAGTGCCAACTTAACATGTTAAAGTCACTCATGATAGTTACACCACACCAGCGTTAGGTTGAAATTGGTTGTTATTATGTGCACAACTACACAATTGGTTATCTGTGCATACAAACCCGATTTTTAGCGTCGTAAGCCTGCAAACTTACCGATCAGCTACTCTGTGTGTGCGAGACAGGTTTTTATTGTCCAAACACTAACCACTTTCTGTTTTTAGGTGCTTGCAGCACTCCCTAACATTTCCTAACCTTTTCGTAGTTCATATTGATGGCACAATATTATTCCTAAGAAATCCTCAACAGGTAGCACTACAATCGTTTTTAAGTACCTGTTCCAACTTGAAAATTGCAATATACATTTCAGATTATTGTTGCGTATCTGCTTGTTTGTTAATTTCCCATAGAAATTCTTTCCGAGAAACTTCAGCGATACAAGTCCTTTCTTGATTAAAACTAGTTAATTCTTTCTCAATACAAACTTTGTAATACACTTAACACCTTTTATAACACACGATATAAATCACAGTGATTCACACCCTTTACTTACGGTGCCTAATGTTCGCTTGACTCAATTATCTATCTCTTCTTCAATCTATCTGCCGATCGCGCAGGTATTTGCAGTTATATATTAAAAAGAGGGCGTATCGAATGCACTCGGGTCTTCATGATCCTTCGAGAAACTCCAGCGAGCATGCTCCCAGCGTCGCGTGACTTCCGCTGTCGTAACAGTATGCATACGGAATATATAAGTACAGTCAATTATGACATTCCAGGTGAGCGGAAATTCCTACATTACAGTCAGAACATCATCAAATAATTTACAAATAACTATGGCTCAGCGATAAGCCTGAGGGCTTATTACACTAAAAATCGGGTTTCGATAGCTATGATGGGCGTAGCACAATTGTGAAGCTTTACGCTTGAGAAACAAGCAATCGTAAGTAATTAATGTAAAACAACCAAATATTTAAATTATCTTTATTATACGTACAGTCAAACATCTTCCAATGCCTTCCGGGCCGGTCATGGCC